GGTGTGTGTGTGTGTATGTGTGTGTGTGTGTGTGTGGAGCAATGGGGCGGGGGGGAGCCATGGTGGGTGTGGGGGGGGGATGAGGGGGAATTTGTTTATGTCCAAAGCCAGGGAAAACAGCTGCCTACCCATTATCATCAAAGTGGTAATGCGAGAGAGGCAAAAGGTGTAATGGCCCCGGCACACACCTTCCGGGATTTGGTTGGCGTAACATGGTGGGGTTGGTTGGGTTTCGGCGGTGAAACGGAGATAATGCGAGGGCGGTGGGGATTGGGGGGTTGCCGTGTTGCATCGCTGTGTTAGTTGTACACGTACGGCAGATGACACCAACCCCGAAATCCGCGATGGCGTCCCCAGCTAGCCGTGTTGCTCGGCCCCTTACAGCCGTGTTGCTCGGCCCCTGTCAAAGGCAAGCAGCCCCACCTCCAGCAGCCCCCCACACGATGGTCACCCCGATCCTCCACCCCACCACCCCGCCCCCGCACCACCCCAAGTTTGTCAGTTTGTCAGTTTGTCAGTTTGTCAGTTTGTCAGTTTGTCAGTTTCATTTTTGAAAACCCTAACACGCGTTGCTGGTGATTATTCGGAGCTCATACGTACATACATACACACACCCCACACACACACCTCACCATGTTGCTGCACATCCCCCCACACCCCGCCAGCTCGGTGCCCTCGAAGTCGAATCTCACTCGGGGGCAGCGAACCGTCCACATGGTGCCCCGGGGCTTATCACCTGACGGCCTCGGAGGGGGCCGGGGGGGGGGGCGGTGGAGGGGTAGGTGGCGAGATATTGAAGGGGGAGATGGGGGGAAAGACGAACCACGTGAAAGAGTGAAGCTGAAGCCAAGGAGGAAAGACTGATGCGCCAGATGTGAAGAAGGCGAACCTAACCAGTCGGCGCGTTCTTGCGAAGAAGAAGTCCTTATGTAGAGGGGAGATGGGGGGTTGGCGAGATATTACAGCAGTAGCAGCAGCAGTAGCAGCAGCAGTAGCAGCAGCAGTAGCAGCAGTAGCAGTAGCAGTAGCAGCAGCAGTAGCAGCAGCAGTAGCAACAGCAGTAGCAGCAGTAGCAGCAGCAATAGCAGCAGCAGTAGCAGCAGCAGCAGCAGTAGCAGTAGCAGCAGCAGCAGTAGCAGTAGCAGCAGCAGTAGCAGCAGCAGTAGCAGCAGTAGCAGCAGTAGCAGTAGCAGCAGTAGCAGCAGTAGCAGCAGCAAGAGGAGGAGGACGTGGAGGATCTAATGATGGCGGATCCACGGGGCCAGTGTGCGGGTGCCCACCACCACCGCACGGCGCAATGGACCTTTCACACCTTGCATTGCGGTGCAGCTAACCAAGGGGCCTTAGGGGGCTCTCCCCCCCAGCCCCACCACACCCCGCGTGTCGACGCCATCGCCGCAGTTCGCTGACAGTAGTGGTCACAGTAGTGAGCAGTCCCCCCCACCCCCCTGGTCGATGTGGCGGTGTAGGGGACCTCCGTATGCGCTGCTGGTATTTCTTTTAGCTAGGAGTGGTTCTGTCGATCGTGCGGACGCAGCTGCCCCGTGGTTAAGAAAATCGTGTGTGTATGTATGTGTGTATGCATGTGCGTATGTATGTATGTGTGCATGTACGCGTGTATGTGTGTATGTATGTGTATATGTGTTGTGTGTATGTATGTGTGTCACTGGGGGATGCGAGAAGGCGGGTGATAATCATGCATACGATCACGCGTACCTTACCCCCTCGTCAGCGTTATTTTTAAGCAATGTATTCCTTTAAAGGAATAAACAGGCATTTTGGCCTTTGGAAAAAAGGAATGAATTGAGGCCGATCCGTACATTTTCATTCCTCCAGCCAAAAACGCCCATTGCTGCCAGATTGCTCCGTAGTGTGCAGAACTTAGTATTTTCAATTGTAGGATAGATATGAGGGGCCGTAAGAAGGTCAAGCCCGTGAGTCAACGCGGCATAGCAGCATGTATGACCGGTCCTCACATAGCCAAACACGCAAAAAACAACGACTCGAACGTCGAACAGACACTAACACAGCAAGATAAGCCTGAAAAATTTTCCTGATAAAGGTGTTTGGGATGGCGGTGCTGTTGTCGGTAATGCATCGGCAATGGTGTTGCTGCCAGCGGCGGCCGATGACACGGGCGCCATTACCCCTGTCCTCCATGGCGGTTGTGATCAGCATAAGTGCAAGCTGTCACCCAATCAGCTCGACAACAACGACAGTGAATGCGGCGAGGCCGGCGATCCATTTCAGGCGCCCAATCCGAGCGCTCGCAGTGCCAAGTGGGCTCAGACACAGCGCATCCGCAAGGGCCAGAGCGACGATGCATGGCGGGACAAGCAGAAAGGGAATCCCCACAGATTGCAGATTGTCTGGGCCGCCAGGTATCTCTGGGCCCGGCCTGTGCATGCTGACGTGGATGCCGGAGAAGTGCATCCCCTACACGTTGATGAAGAAGAGCGACCATCCCCTGCAGGAAGTCGCTCGTCCAGCTGGACGAGCACCTAGCACTGTGTGTGCGCGGATGTTTACCCAGGACCCGTTCGACCTGGGCACGCTCCCGTTCCGTGTGACGCACTGAGGAAGTGGCTGGACAGCAGCAGCAGTGGCCGGTACATGATGAACCGGTAGAGTCCCAGTGTGCTGTGGTTTGCAGCGGCGGGTGACGGCCTGTGATTTGCTATGCGGTTGCTTGCTTTGGGCCTTTGCTTGGTCGGATTTGCTTATTGCTCACAAACAGTGCCAGAACTATCTATGCATGTGCATGAAGAGTGCGCACATGAACGAAAGCGCGCCAACTCAGTGCGTGACTCTTGGTCCATGAGGGGAGTTGAAAACTTATCGGGGGGGTGGGGGTTTGGGGGTTTAAGCGCCTCACACTTAAGGAATTAATTACGACGACCCTAGCAAATTTGTTACTTAGGTCGGAATAAATTGAGCCCCGTCCTAAACGAAAAAAAAATCACTGCCCCTCGTTACTTCGCCTTCCATTTGCCCAGCTACCTATGTAACATGTTAATCCCATCACCCCCGTAATTTACCCACATACACACCCCTTCCTCCCCTCCCCTCCCCATACCCCACGTACACCCCCAACATACACCCAGACAAACATACACACTACAAGCACACCGGGTCCTACCGGGGTACCCAGCCGTCTGCAGGTCCAGCACCTCGATGCCCCTCCCTGGCGCTATGGGCAGGGTGAAGGAGTCCGGAGGCA